TGGTTGGTACTTCTTCCTGTTGCAATACTCCTTGATAATCCAATTTTTTTTTTACACAAATCTAACTTTGTTCTATTTTACAAAGTCTAAAAACTGTCTCAAAACAAGGACAACTTTATCTTCAGTGAGATCCTCCCAGTCCCCTTCCACCTTAGTCGTAACTGCATCTGCCTGTGAGGCCCCAGCTTTCCAGGGCTCTGTAGCTTCTCTCAGGATAAAGGCTCCTTCCATGGCTGGGGTGAGCAGGCTGGGACACCTGCAGGGGAGGCTCCCCAGAAGGAACTAACTGGACCTTAAAAAACCTTCTTTTGCAGGCTCAATATTAGCCTTTGCTGGGAGTCGCTGGGCTCAAGCTTTAATTTCTATGTCAGTTATTCAGTTGGTCTTTGAAAAGTGTTCGAAAAATCCAGCAAAATTATGCAAACAATGTTCATATAAAAACAAGGCAATTTTGGCCCGGCACGGTGGCTCACGCCTGTAATCCCAGCACTTTGGGAGGCTGAGGCAGGTAGATAACGAGGTCAGGAGTTCGAGACCAGCCTGGCCAATATGGTGAAATCCCGTCCCTACTAAAAATACAAAAATTAGCTGGGCGTGGTGGTGTGCGCCTATACACCCAGCTACTCAGGAGGCTGAGGCAGAAGAATCGCTTGAACCCAGGAGGCGAGGGCTGCAGTCCAGCCTGGGTGACAGAGTAAGACTCCATCTCAAAAAAAAAAAAAAGGCAATTTTACAATGCTTACATTTCATACCTCAATAAGAAAAGCAAAAGTATCTATTCCTTTACAAATAATAATAATATTTTATTATTTCCATTAAAAATCATGTAGTTGCCAGGCGTGGTGGCTCACACCTATAATCCCAGCACTTTGGGAGGCCGAGGTGGGCGGATCACCTGAGGTCGGGAGTTCGACCAACCCGACCAACATGGAGAAATCCCGTCTCTACTAAAAATACAAAATTAGCCGGGTGTAGTGGCACATGCCTGTAATCCCAGCTACTAGGGAGGCTGAGGCAGGAGAATTACTTGAACCTGGGAGGCAGAGGTTGCGGTGAGCTGAGATCGTGCCACTGCATTCCAGCCTAGGCGACAAGTGCGAAACTCCGTCTCAAAAAAAAAAAATAAAAATATAAAAAAAAGTCATGGAGTAGGCCGGGCACGGTGGCTCATGCCTGTAATCCTAGCACTTTGGGAGGGGCAGACTGCCAGAGCTCAGGAGTTCGAGACCAGCCTGGGCAACATGGTGAAACCCCGTCTCTACTAAAATACAAAAATAGCCACACATGGTGGCGTGTACCTGTAGTTCCAGCTACTCGGGAGGCTGAGGCAGGAGAATTGCTTGAACCCAGGAGGCGGAAATTGCAGTGAGCTGAGATCGCACCATTGCATCTCAGCCTTCGGGGAGACTCCGTTTGAAAAAAAAAAAAAAAAAAAAAAAAAATTCATGTAGTAAACAATTAGTCATATGGGAACACTTGTAGGAGGCACCAAGTTTCATCTAAAAAATTTATCATTACACTCTGAAATAAAGATGACAGGATATAGAACAGAGATATTCACTCTCAGAAATTTACCCTGCAAAAACAACTGTTGTTTTCATGAATTCATGTAACCCACCTATTATCCACAACATTTTCTTCTGGAAATGTATTCATTTTCCACAGCCAAAATGGAAGCAAGATTTTCCCTATTCTTTTCTTTGGTAACATTCCAAAATCTAAGCCTTGGAATTCTGTTTGAAATCACCCAGCCATAAAAAAAAAAATATGCCTGAGAAAATTCCTAAACTCACTCTAAGAAAAAGGTACATGAGAATTTTTAACAACAACAAAAAAATAGATTAGATTTTTCTGAAACCCACCTCTTTTATGCCCTTTGTAAATATTTTCTTACCTTTCAAGCTCTACTAACAAATTGCAATTTAGAGTTAAAAAACTGAAGTCAAGGCCGGGCACGGTGGCTCAAGCCTGTAATCCCAGCACTTTGGGAGGCCGAGACGGGCGGATCACGAGGTCAGGAGATCGAGACCATCCTGGCTAACACGGTGAAACCCCGTCTCTACTAAAAAATACAAAAAAAAACTAGCCGGGCGCGGTGGCAGGCGCCTGTAGTCCCAACTACTCGGGAGGCTGAGGCAGGAGAATGGCGTGAACCCGGGAGGCGGAGCTTGCAGTGAGCTGAGATCCGGCCACTGCACTCCAGCCTGGGCGGCAGAGCGAGACTCCGTCTCAAAAAAAAAAAAAAAAAAAAAATTGAAGTCAATATAAGTGAACAAATCTTTTCAAAGTGACAAACCCAGGAAGTGGCAGTGCTGATAAGAAAACAGATGTGTCCGACTCATGTGTCAAGTTCAATCACTTGAGAGATTCTCCCATCCATCCTGCTCACTTAAGTATTCAATAACCAACCTCTCCGGAGACTCTGCACTATGTTCCAGTGAGTGTCCCAAGTGCATTTTACTTTGCAATTTTTTTGCCTCATGTCACTGGATTCAGGGTGTCTTTTGCCTTTTGAGATACCACCTTTTTTTTTTTTTTTGAGACGGAGTTTCACTCTTGTTGCACAGGCTGGAGTGCAAAGGCGCCATCTTGGCTCACCACAACCTCCGCCTCCTGAGTTCAAGTGATTCTCCTGCCTCAGCTTCTGAGTAGCTGGATCACAGGCATGCACCACCACGCCCTGCTAATTTTGTATTTTTAGTAGAGAGGGGGTTTCATCATGTTGGCTAGACTGGTCTCAAACTCCTGACCTCAGGTGATCCATCCGTCTTGGCTTCCCAAAGTGCTGGGTTTGTACAGGCGTGAGCCACTGTGCCTGGCAGAGATACTACACTTTTTTCACAAGCTGTAGAGAATCTAGGGGGCAGGGGCAGAAATTATTTCTGTTTTCAACTCAATACCAGCATCTGATTGGCTGACCAGCAATGTGTCCGCAAGAAAGGAAAGTTGGGCTGGGTGAAGACAATCCAAACATCTGAAGGGGTTAGGTTTTCAAAGGAAGAGCACACCAGGAAATTCCTCTCAGCCCCAGGGCATCCACCTGCTCCCTTACGAGGCTACACTCCATACCACAGGTTGTCCCATGGGAGAGAATGACCCAGGAGTTAATAATATTCATTAGACAGTCTCGCAGACATAGCCATGACTGATACCTTGGTTTATTCAGACAGTACTGAAACCCAGGACCAGGAATAAAACTAAAGGGTGGCTGAGGACACATCACTCCACAAAAATTCCAAGAAAAACCTTGATGCCAGAACAGTCCCATGAGATCTCTACACCAAGAGAAGATAAAAGGAAAAGAGACAAAGATTGTTTTACAATACAGTGTCAGAAAATTATTCCTTGCTTTCTTCTTATGGAAAATATTTATAAACAGAAAACGAATCTTTTTAAATGTGCCATCCAATGCTTTGTCAAAAAATGTTTAATTAAAATATGGTATCAAAAATGTACACTAAAGGACAAATAGTTAATAGTGTGAATTAGGGAGGGGGAGTTGGCATTTGGGATTGTCAGGAGGAAATGGAAATTCTGTATTTTACTGCAAACCAGAGTCAGGCTGGAGGAATAGGGGGCGTGGGGGCAGACCTGAGACCCTGCTTAGGACACCTATGAAAAATGCAGATCAGTTTTGTGTAGGGAGTGAAAATAGTTAACTGGTAGGCAATTCGACTGAGGTGGCCGTAGTCCCTGAATTCCTACTTTAAAAAAATCTAACTCAAGACGGGTGCGGTGGCTCACGCCTGTAATCCCAGCACTTTGGGAGGCCAAGATGGGCGGATCACCCGAGGTCGGGAGTTTGAGACAAGCCTGACCAACATGGAGAAACCCCGTCTCTATTAAAAATACAAAATTAGCTGGGCGTGGTGGTGCATGCCTGTAATCCCAGCTACTCGGGAGGCTGAGACAGGAGAATCACTTAAACACAGAGGCGGAGGCTGCAGTGAGCTGAGATCGCGACACTGCACTCCAGCTTGGGCAAGAAGATCGAAACTCGTCTTAAAAAAAAAAAAAAACTAACACAAAAAAAAATTTTTTTTTTGTAAATTACTATATTGGGGAAAACAAATACAGGGTTAACAAACTATAAACTGGAATTAAGCTCTGATTACATAACCAGGAAATTTAGTACGCTCAACATGGAAATTAAGAAACTACGTAACCCTACCTAACCGATTACTGAATTTGCGTTTTTGTATCGTGCACAGTCTTTCATTCAAGTTCCTCCAAAGGACCACAAACTACATCCCACAGCTGGGTGCTTTACAATTTTAGAACCACTCTTTGATTAAATTATTTAATGTTTTGCGGTGACTCCTTTTTTTTTTTTTTTTGAGACAGTCTCATTGTGTCAACCAGCCTGGAGTGCAATGGCACAATCTTGGTCTCCTGGGTTTAAGCGATTCTCGTGCCTCAGCCTACCGAATGGCTGGGATTACAGCTGCCCGCCACCACACTCGGCTAATTTTTGTATTTTTAGTAGAGACGGGGTTTCACCATGTTGGCCAGGTTGTTCTCGAATGCCGGACCTCAGTGATCCGCCTGCCTCCCAGCAAACTGCTGGGATTACAGGCGTAAGCCACCGCCCCCGGCCACTCCCATAGATTTTCAATAGGAGAAAATGGGAACTGGGAACCCCACAGACCAAAGCTCTTCCCGCTCATGAACCCATACCCCGAGTCACGATTCTCCCCTGACGCCCCTCCCATGGTTCCTGCACAATCTGGGAGAGACTGCGGAATTGCGCGTGCAGAGCTGCCCAGACAGGGCTACAGGTCGGGGCACAGTCGCTCCGCAGGAAAGAGACAGGATGCCCAGCACCCAGCTATCAGCACAGCCGCCATCTTATGGTTGAAGGGGACTGAGGCCCAGCTGGGCAAGAACGCCGGGCGCAGATCGTGGAGCTGACTGCGGGGAGACCTAAGTCCGCCACAGCCACTTCCCACGGTTCCGACCAGCCCCTCCCCCCCTCTCGGGATGTCAGACCCGGCACTCACCATTTCTAGGCTGCCAGGAGGCCCTGGAGTCTTAACTCTGGATCGCCCAATATCTGCAGGTCACAGGGTCACACAGGCTGGGCCTCTAGGAACAAAAGACACAGAAATGAAGATGAGACCTGGAGCTCTGGAGGCAGCCACAGCCAAACGCCCCGCCATATTCCGGAAGCCGTCCTGTCCGCTCCAGCTGCGTCCCTGATTGGACTGTCCCCAGCCCAGCGTCCCTGATTGGATGCTGTTTAAGACCCACCCCCTCAGGCCCTGAGTGACAGAAGGTGTGATCAGTTGCTGGGCTGAATGAGGAGTGACAGCCTAGCTGCAGCTTTTTCAGGCAGACTTTCCTCTGAGCTGAGCCAGGCCCACCCTTGAGGGTGTTTGCATTGAACCTTGTGTATAAGGTCATATGCATTTATAAATAATATACTATATGGCTAGTCACAGATGAAAATAATATAATAACAATTACTTTGAAGTTTTAGCTTTTATCACCTTCCTGGCTTCTGGTCCTTTGAGCAGGCAGCCTAACATTTTAAAAAGGAGGCAGTCCTCTGAAATAAAATGTGAGCCACATGTGAATTTTTAATTTTCTAGTAGCCAAACTTTAAAAAGAAACATGAAACACGTGGAACTGATTGTAATAATGTAACCCAATATGTTTAAAATATTGTCATTTTAATATGTGAGCTACGTGGAAGGAAAATTACTAAGGAAAACTCAAGCTGGAAACTAAAGGCTAATCAGAAACTCAAAAGAATGTGACCACCTATCTGTGACCTGGAAGCTCCCTCCAGCTTCATGTCTTCCTGCCTTTGCTTCAAGTTATCCCACCTTTTCAGACCGAACCAATGTACCTCTTTCATATGTTGATTGATGTCTCATGTCTCCCTAAAACGTATAAAACCAAGATATTCCCTGACCACCTTGGGCAGGTGTCCTCAAGACTATGTCATAGGCATGTTCTCAACCTTGGCAAAATACACTTTCTAAATTAACTGAGACCTGTCTCAGATTCTGGGTTCACAGCAATATGTAATTATTAAGGCACTATATATATTTTTGGAACTAAATCTTCGAAACCAACTCTGTATTTTACTTTTCTAGCAAATTGCAGTTCAGACCAGGCACATTCCAGGCACCCAGGAGCCACACATGGCCAACAGCTACCACGTTGAAGCGCAGCTCTGATGTCAGGTGGGTGGAGGCCCTGAACATCCCTTTTCTGCCAGAGGTGAGGGGACAGCCTGTCTCTACTAACATCTATCTTCAGTTCTGAGGGTGGGACAGATAGTGGCCATAGCAAGGGCAGAGGGCAGCAAGAATAAAATAACCACAGGTAGACCACTGCTTGCCACCTGTGGTCCACCCTTCATCCAGAGATCAGACAGTGAACAAAAAATTCTGGGGCCCCAGGAAAAGAAAACTCTGTCTTCAGGTCTGTACACAGTTCTTAACCTCCAACTTTTAGATATGAAGAAAATAAATCAAACTTATTTTGCTATTTGGCCTTGGCCCTAATGGTCAGGCTGTGGTTGTTTTCTCCTGTGGTGTGGGGTACTGTGTGAGTAAAAGCACCAATCACACACATACATGTCTAGCTGTATTTCTGCATTACCCAACATTGTCTTAGGAGACATACAACTTCAAATCAGGAGGAAAAAAAAAAAGGCAATACCTTTAGGGTGTCCACTGTCAGAAGGTAACTAGTAATCAACCTGTGACTGAATCCTGGCATTCCATCTGCACAGGGTACATGTATTAGTTAGCTATTGCAGCATAACAAACCATCCAAAACTTATTTGCTTGTAATTGAGGTGTTCAGCCATTTAGGCTGGGCTCAACTGAGCTCCTTCAGACGTGTACCATCAGCTGTCTTTTCACTAGGCAGCTGTGTTTCTGAGGGTGAGCTTCTGCTTCTGGGGCTGTCAACAGGGGCACCTTGCTTCTCCTCCCCATGGTATCTTATTTTCCACCTGGCTAACATGGGCCGTCATGGAGATGGCAGCATTCTGAAAGAAAAACAGAAGCAGTCAAGACCATTCGAGCCTAGGCCCCAAACTAGCACATTATCATGTTTACAGCTTTCTACTGTCCTGAGCAGGTAAGATCAGCCAGATCTATGGTTTGGAAAACAAATTCTGTATTTCAGTGGCAACAGCTATGAAAGCACCTGGCAATGGATATAGGAGGCATGAAAACTTGCTACAGTTTTTGCAATCAGTGTCATTCTGCCTTTTTTTGCATATGTGGTTCATACAACCTCTTTCACATCAAGAAACTTGTCCAAAGAACCACAGCTACTAACTGGCTGGGTTGAGACTCAGTATCAACTGTTTTGTTTTTGTTTTTTTTAAGATGAAGTCTTGCTCTGTTGCCCAGGCTGGAGTGCAGTGGCACAATCTTGGCTCACAGCAACCTCCGCCTCCTGGGTTCAAGCAATTCTCATGCCTCAGCCTCCTGAGTAGCTGGAATTACAGGCGCATACTACCACACTCAGCTAATTTTTTATTTTAGCACAGATGGGGTTTTGCCATGTTAGCCAGACTGGTCTCATACACCTGACCTCAAGCAATTCACCTGTCTCGGCCTCCCAAAGTGCTGGAATTATAGGCGTGAGCCACCGCACCCCGCCTTCAGGATCAACACTCTGACTCCAAAGCCCGTGCACCTCCATAGATCAAACTATAATACTAAAGTAGCTGCCCTAGACCTTTGAAATCCTGGAGAGTGAAACTTCTAAAATAGAAGCCAGATTCCCTTTATATTTGTGTGCATATAGCACTGTTTATTATTGAGAATAATCTTGTCAAGAAATTGCAGAAGTATATGGTGGCTCATACCTGTAATTCTAGCACTTTGGGAAGCTGAAATAGGAGAATCACTTGAGCTCAGGAGTTCAAGAGCAGCCTGGGCAACATAGTGAGATCCAGTGTCCATGAAAAAAAATTAAAAATTAGGCATGATTTTGCATGCCTGTAGTCCCAGCTACTCAGGTGGCTGGGGCAGGAGAATTGCTTGAGCCTGGAAGATTAAGGCTTCAGTGAGCCATGATTAGTTATACCACACTCTAGCCAGGGTGGTAGAGTGAGACTCTGACTCAAAAATAGTAATAATAACTATTATTATTATTATTTGAGAAAATAGCTGTGGAATGAGTTTAGAAAATCAAAGCTCAATAACACATTATTTATTTTCAGTATTAAAAAATTTGAAAATTTGTAAAAGAAGAAAACTTTAGAAAAATTAAATTTAACAGAGTTTAAATGAGCAAATCGTGATTTGCAAATCAGGTAACCTATGGATCCAGAGTAGCTTGGAGAGACTCCAGCACAGCCACATGTTGGTAAAAGATTTATGAACCAGAAAAGCAAAATGACATATAGAAAATGGAAGTGAGGTTCAGAAACAGCCAGATTTATTACAGCTTAAGATTTGTCCTATTTGAACACTAAGTTTACTATGTTAAAAAAAAAAAAAAAAAAAAAAAGGCCGGGCGCGGTGGCTCAAGCCTGTAATCCCAGCACTTTGGGAGGCCGAGACGGGCAGATCACGAGGTCAGGAGATCGAGACCATCCTGGCTGACACAGTGAAACCCCGTCTCTACTAAAAAATACAAAAAAACTAGCCGGGCGAGGTGGCGGGCGCCTGTAGTCCCAGCTACTCGGGAGGCTGAGGCAGGAGAATGGCGTGAACCCGGGAGGCGGAGCTTGCAGTGAGCCAAGATCATGCCACTGCACTCCAGCCTGGGCGGCAGAGCGAGACTCTGTCTCAAAAAAAAAAAAAATCCTATTCACCAAAATTAAACATAAAAGAGGGAAGCTTTAGGCTATAACTAATTTAACAATTTCTCTCTTTTGTCATCTTCTCAAGTTTGAGACCAAAACTTTAGACATTAATATCACTTTGTCACCATCAAAAATGTACTTATTTGGACTCAAATCTGACTGTGAAATAGCAGAACTGTGGGTTTGTAAAGTGGAAATAAAAACTTCAGCTTATTATTTTGAAATGATTTTTATTTGTTTTTTAAAGTGTTAGAGTACAGGGACTTCCTTGTGTTGAAATCTGCTATTTACAGAAGAAAAACAAAACCTGGCCAGTTTTAGAATCTACCTATTGCCTTAAATTTTTAGTTTAATTATGTCACATCTAGCATGAGTGACTCATTTTGGTTTGGTTTGGACCTAGTGCATAAGCTCAGTCCAGAATTATGGCCTCCAATAGTTTTCTTTAAAAAATTCCCCCTATTTGGTTAAGTTCTTACATAGGTCATAGTGTGACCAAAACTCGGTTCTTTAGTGCCACTCTCAGTTTCCACTATTTTTGTTTTTTGTCCTTAGCATGTCATTCATAGGTTGTGGTGTCTTCATAGTCACATATGTCTTTGAGTTTCTGTCATTCTAGTTAAAGAGAGACCATTTGACATTCTACAAATGACTATATTCAAACGTTTATATCTTTTGAGAGAATACAGTGCAGTAGGAAGATTACTAATTTGACTATCAGGAGGATAATACCAAGAGTTTGAAGCATGCTTTTTAGCCAGGGTCCCCATGAACAACCAACTAAAATTAAATAGATCAAATAATTAGCTAGATAAATGGTCTACTCATTTCATCTAATCAGCCTGTTCATGAATCATCTACAACTGCATCTCTATAATACCTGCTGTAGTTCTCCATAGGCAGCTATTAGCAACTGCACAGATATATATTTATCCAGTAAGTAATCAAAAGAAATTATATTTGGCACAACTTTGTGAGAAAATTTAAAGTCTATTGTGTAAGCATAGCCTTTATGGTATAATCTGCTATAGAGCTCTATTGAGAGGGATAAATTTGTAACCATTGCCTCATTTACTCTAAACAATGATACCCATTCAGAAGAGCAATGGCCTCCGGGCAATGCTCTTTAACCTATTCTGAATAAGTTCTTTTTAACTTATGAAATAGGTTAAGAGCAGTGGACCAATATTCTGTTTTTGGTATTGTGAGAAAACAAATGTTTCATTAAAACTTCTCACCCACATTGGCCCTTCCTCTTTTACCTTTCAAGGAATAAGTTTCCTCATATATAATGTTGACTGCAAAATTCTCTACATGTAAGTAACCCCCATGAGTGCACACAAGAGACCACTTTTTAAAATTTCCGTTGTCTGCAGAACCATAAACAAACTGTGAACTAAGAGTGTCATGATAACGAGATGTCTTGATTTTTGATCTTGTGAAAAAAAGCTATCTACATGGAGACGGCCATCTGCTTTTGAGGACAAACTTTCCTGGTTAGCTTTACCTTAAAATCTCCTATGGGTTTACAATTGCAAGAGTTTGGAGGGGCTCTTCTAAGTTGTGAGATTATCAATCCAATGTTCAAGGTCTCGAAGTCTTGCTTCGGGGTAGGTGGCAGGCAGATTCATTCTCTGGGTTCTTGATTATAAAGGGTTTTACTCTCCTCAGTCAGTAGACTAGTAAAGGCTTTCTTCACCTGGTGAAAATGTGCTCTGCCATAATGCATTGAAGCCTTGTTGAATTTAGTAATGTTAGACTTTAGTAGCAGAAGACGCATGAGGTTCTATTATGCACATAGGCCTTCTAATGACTATTTTATAAGGGTCAACATATTTTTTCCATTCTAAGTAAATCTGCAGTTACAAAAGCAATCCAGTCAATTTAGTTAGCTTTGCTCAATACTATTGTATCTGTAATACTGTGGCAGGCCAGACCTCACTAACAACTGTTTCAGTACTGACTGAGTGGTTAAGTAAAGTATTAAAAGCCAGTGACCAGCTGGACGTGGTGGCTCACGCCTGTAATCCCAGCACTTTGGGAGGCCGAGGCAGGCAGATCACGAGGTCAATAGATCGAGACCATCCTGGCCAACGTGGTGAAACCCCGTCTCTACTAAAAATACAAAAAAATTAGCTGGGTGTGGTGGCACACACCTGTAGTCCCAGCTACTTGGGAGGCCGAGGCAGGAGAATGGCTTGAACCCTGGAGGCAGAGGCTGCAGTGAGCCAAGACTGTGCTGCTGCACCCCAGCCTGGTAACAGAGTGAGACTCCGTCTCCAAAAAAAAAAAAAAAAAAAAAGCCAGTGACCTTATACAAAGGCTGGGATGTAACAAAAGCCCATCAGGAGTTTCGCCTAGGCCTTTCCTGGGCCTTATGGGATTAAACAAGTTTTATTGGGGGTCTGAAGAAATTCCCCAGGCCTCCACAAACAAGTTTATTGGAGATCTGAAGGAACTCACCAAACCACTGTGATTTAGCAGGAGACAAGATAAGGGTAATCACCCCAGCACCTAGACCCATTTAGATTAAGTAAATTTACTGAGGCTGTGGGGGAAGGTCTTTAAGACCTTAGTTACAGATTAAATAAAGGAAGTTAATCACTTATCTCTTTAGTTGAATGCACACTTACATGTAGACATATAGCTTAGAAGGTACATAAGCTCTGGAAAACGTTGTAATTTTGAGTTGGTCTGGTGATAATTTCCAGGCCTTCTCCCTGTAACCGATTGCAGAAATAAAACTCTCTTCCTCCCCAGTTCATCTGCATCTCGTTATTGGGCCGTGAGAAATAGTAGCCCGACCCTCAGTTTGATCCAGGAACAATACCTTATTTAACAGTTTTACAACATGTCTAGTGAAATAAGTATCTTGATCATTAGAGACCTTTCAGAAATGTCCCATGAAAAAAACGTATTTTCTAATATTCTTTTAGCTACCATTATAACATCAGCCTTCTTGCATGAGAAAGCTTTTATACTATCAGAGAACATGCATTAAAAATGACAACTGTATAAAATGTCTGTGTAAGTGCTTAAATAGCCTATTAGATAGCAGAAATGTACACGAAGTTTTGATTGTTTCTCAGAATTATATGTTTGACAAAAAAAAAATTGGTCTTAATCTGTTTTAGTAATTTGGAATAGTCACCACACACACACACACACACACACACACTTAATTCATATTTAATTTAGGTTATTTTCTCTTCTGTGATGAGTAATGGAATGCAGAGCTTTTAATAATGGAAGTTTTAAGAAATCAAGAATAAACAAATGGCTTGCTGGCTGTCTAGGTTCTTTATGAGTCCACACTTAACATTAAATTTATGTCCTTTTTTTTTTTTCTTTTTTGAGACAGAATCTCCCTCTGTCACCCAGGCTGGAGTGCAATGGCACGGTCTTGGCTCACTGCAACCTCCAACCTCCTGGGTTCAAGTGATTCTCCTGCCTTAGCCTCCCAAGTAGCTGCGATTACAGGTGCTCGCCACCACACCTGGGCAATTTTTGTCTTTTTAGTAGAGACGGAGTTTCACCATGTTGGCCAGGCTGGTCTCAAATTCCTAACCTCAGGTGATTCACCCACCTCGGCCTCCCAACGTGCTGGGATTACAGGTGAGCCACTGCACCCTGCTAATTTATGTCATCTTAAATACCAGGTTTGTTTCTCCAATTTAGGGGCACAGCACTGATAACTGAGGGGTTATCATAGGTAATTTGATTTAGGCCACAGAGTTTATTCAAATGGTATATCTAAAAAATTTCAGTACTGGCTGATTCAGCATAATATGTGGCAGAATATTTTCCTAATATTTAATTAATTTTTGTTTTGCCTGGGTTAGCAGTTCTCTTCATTAGAATCCAAACAATCCTTACCCAGTCAAAACAATATGATTCTAAAATGATCAGAAACCTGTACTCCACTTGTCTGGGCCCTTTCCATCTTTTAATGAACCTCCTTAGAGATGCAGTAATCTAGGATGGTGTATGCTTTCGAAGTTTTTAGAAACTATATCAGAATTAAACCATTAACTGTGCAAATGACTTAAACGGTTATGAAGAAACAAAAAGATATCTGTGGCCCACAATAACTTATCACAATAACCTAATTATGACTACTAGCATATACTCAGATATATTAGATTTTTAGAAATTTTATACAATTTTAAAATAAATATTAAAAACATATTTATTAAAATATAAGTTGAAGCAGGTCAAACATTATTTTTAATTTGAAAACCCTTCCCATGTAATGTGACATATCAAATAATTCCGTTCATTACTCTTTTGGATGCTGCATTGGCCCTCTGCAGAATCCAAGAGTTAGGGGTCAAAAACAAACAATTTTTAAGCTGATATTTGATTTTAGGAAGCCTGTCAAATATGTCAAAATTAAAATACTTTCTGATATTTGGGCTGGGCACAGTGGCTCACGTCTGTAATCCCAGTACTTTGGGAGACCGAGGTGGGCAGATCACTTGAGGTCAGGAGTTTGATACCAGCCTGGCCCACATGGTGAAACCCCATCTCTACTAAAATTACAAAAATTAGCCAGGCGTGGTGGCACATGCCTGTAATCCCAGCTACTCTGGAGGCTGTGACACAAGAATCACTTGAACCTAGGAGGCGGAGGTTGCAGTGAGCCAAGATCGTGTACTACTGCACTCTAGCCTGCGTGATGAAGCAAGACTCCATCTCAAAAAAAAAAAAAAAAAAAAAAGACCAGAAACCAGAGTCCCTGCAATGGTGATGCATCAGTCTGGGGTGCAGTACTGACCAGGTAGCAAGGCCTTGGCTGTGTAAACAAAAAGGTATCTGAGACAAGTCTCAATCAATCGAGAAAGTTTATTTTGCCAAGGTTAAGGACAAGCTTGTGACACAGCCCCAGGAGTTCCTGACGACATGTGTCCAAGATGGTAGGGGTACAGCTTGCTTTTACACACTTTAGGAAGACATGAGACATCAATCAATATGTGTAAGATGTATATTGGTTTGGTCTGGTAAGGCAGGACAACTTGAGGTGTGGGCTTCCAGGTCATAAGTAGACAAGACACAAAGGTTGGAATCTTTTGTGTCCTTGATCAACCTTCCACTGAATATACGATTTAGTGTGGCTCAGTGAATCTGCAATTTTTTCTTTTTTTTTTGAGATGGAGTCTCACTTTCCCACCCAGGCTGGAGTGCAGTGGCGCGGTCTCAGCTTACTGCAACCTCTGCCTCCTGAGTTCAAGCGATTCTACTACTTCAGCTCTCCCTGCCTCCCCACCCACTCCAGTAGCTGGGAGTACAGGCATATGCCACCATGCCCAGCTAATTTTTGTAATTTTAGTAGAGACAGGGCTTCCCCATGTTGGCCAAGCTGGTCTCAAACTCCTGACCTCAGGTGACCTGCCCACCTCAGCCTCCCAAAGTGCTTGGATGACAGGAGTAAGCCACTGAGCCTGGCCTAAATCTGCATTTTTAAATTAACAATAGGGCAGAGGGAGTAATCAGATATGCATTTATCTCAGGTGAGTCTCAGAGGGATGACTGAGTTCTGTTACCTGTTCAGAAGGAATTTTCTTGTGGGCAAATTGTGAAAAAGGTATGTAGCTTTTTTATCTTTGCAACTATGTTATTTAGAAATAACATGGGAAGCACGTTTGCCTGACATAGTTCCCAGCTTGACTTTTCCATTGGCTTAGTGATTTTGCCGTTGTAAGATTTATTTTCCTTTTAAAGCGGGGACCCCTTTTATTTTTATTTTTTGCTTGACATAGTTCCCAGCTTGACTTTTCCATTGGCTTAGTGATTTTGCCGTTATGAGATTTATTTTCCTTTTAAAGCGGGGACCCCTTTTATTTTTTTGAGATAGAGTCTCCCTCCCTCCCTCCCAAACTCCCTTGCCCAGTTTGGAAAACAGTGAGGTGATCTCAGCTCACTGCAACCTCTGCCTCCCAGGCTCAAGGAGATTTCCTGCCTCAGCCTCCTGAGTAGCTGGGACTGCATAGTAGAGACAGGGCTTCCCCATGTTGGTCAGTCTGGTTATCTAGTTTATCTGTTTGTTTTTTATTTTATTTATTCATTTATTTTTTGGGACAGAGTCTCGCTCTGTCACCCAGGCTGGACTGCAATGGTGAGATCTCGGCTCACTGCAACCTCTGCGTCCCAGGTTCAAGCAATTCTCTGCCTCGGCCTCCCGAGTAGCTGGGATTACAGGCACCTGCCAACACACGCGGCTAATTTTTGTATTTTTAGTAGAGACAGGGTTTTATCATCTTGGCCAGGCTGGTCTTGAACTCCTGACCTTGTGATCCACCCTCCTCAGCCTCCCAAAGTGTTGGGATTACAGGCATGAGCCAGCATGCCCAGCCACTTATTTTATCTTATTTTTTGAGAGAGAGTCTCGCTCTGTCACCCAGGGTGGAACGCAGTGGCATGATATTGGCTTACTGCAACCTCCGTCTCTTGGGTTCAAGCGATTCTCCTGCCTCAGCCTCCTAAGTAGCTGGGATTACAGGCACCCGCCACCATGGCCAATTAATTTTTGTATTTTTAGTAGAAACCGTGTTTTCCCATGTTGGTCAGGCTTGTCTCAAACTCTTGACCTCAGGTAATCCACTTGCCTCGGCCTCCCAAAGTGCTGGGATTACAGGCATGAGCCACCACACCCCACCTAGTGTATCTGTTTAGACAGAATAAAACAAGATATCTATTCATAAGTAACAAATATAGGTTAATAGAAAACTCAAACACAAATATAACTAATGCTATATCGTTCAGAATAGCCCATTCTAATTATTTCATTTCTCATTTGCTAAAATTCAAATAAACTTTTTTCATAATTTTACAGTGTATCTTAATGTCAGAGGCATTTAAACCAGAGTGACTCTATTTTGAATAGTGGCTGAGTAAATCGAGGTTGAGACCTACAGGGCTGCATTCCCCAGAAGTTAGGCATTCTTGGTCACAGGCTGAGATAGGAGGTCAGCACAAGATACACGGCACTTAGCAATTTGTCACAATCTTCTCTGTTAGCAAGGTGCAGGCAGAAAAGAAGAGTCACATATTTAGGTCATGTGTCATAGGCGGTCATAGCAGAGATAAGTCATTTTTGGGAACAGTCAAGAAAGGAGCTCCCTAGCCGCTAGGTGTTGAGGCCAGCTATACATCACAATACCCAAAATATGTGAGGCCCAGGAAAAAAAGACAGTCACATCACCTAGGTGCTGGGTCCAGTAATATGTCACAATCACCTTTTTCGGCAGGTTCCAGTCAAAAAACGAGTCACAACACCTAAGTGATGAACAAACAGATAGGTCATAATACCCTTCTGAACAGAGCCTATGCAGGAAACTCATATTACTTATGTGCCGGGTCCAGTGTTAGGATCACAATCCCCCCCTTTTACAGGATTCAGGAAGAAAAAAAGAGTAACATCACTTAAGTGATAAACAAAACGTATGTCATAATTGCCCTATTAGCAGGGCCTATGCAGGAGAATCACATTACCTAGGTGTTGGACCAGCCATATTTCAATAGACACAATGTATGCAGGGCCCAAGGAGGAGAGGAGAGTCACAACACCAAGGTGCTGGGTCCAGTGATATGTCACAATCACCCTTCTTGGCAGGTTCCAATGAAAAGACAAGAGTCATAACACCTAAGTGATGAACAAAAAGACATGTCATAATACCCTTCTGAACAGAACCCATGAGTTAGAGTCATATTACCTGGGTCTTAGACCCCGTCATATATCACAATATACAATGTATGCAAAGCCCAGGAAAAAAAAAAAGTCACATCTCAGGCAGAGCCCAAGCAGTAGAAGAGAGTCACATCACCTAGGTTCACAGATCCTGAAATATCACAGTACCCTCTGAGAAAAGAGCCCTGGCAAAAAAAGTCACATCATCTAGGTGAGAGGCCCAGAGATATGTCACAGTGTCCCCTGTGAGTAGTGTTGGGAACAGGCCCCCAAATCTGGTCATAAAAAGGCCCAAAACTGGCCATAAACAAAAGCTCTGCAGCACTGTGACATGTTAGTGATGGCTATGATGCCAATGCTGGAAGGTTGTTGGTTTACCGGAATGAGGGCAAGGAACACCTGGCCCACCCAGGGTGGAAAATCGCTTAAGGCATTCCTAAACCACAAACAATAGCATGAGGGATCTGTGCCTTAAGGACATGCTCCTGCTGCAGATAACTAGCCAGACCCATCCCTTTATTTCGGCCCATCCCTTTGCTTCCATAAGGAATACTTTTAGTTAATCTATAATCTATAGAAACAACGCTTATCACTGGCTTGCTGTCAATAAATAAATCTCTGGGTAAATCTCTGTTTGAGGCTCTCAGCTCTGAAGGCTGTGAGACCCATGATTTCCCACTCCACACGCTATATTTCTGTGTGGTGTCTTTAATTCCTCTAGCGCCACTGGGTCAGGGTCTCCACGACTGAGCTGGTCTCGGGAGAGTAGGGCTCAGAAGAAAGAGAAAGATCACATAACCTAAGAGCTGGTTCCACCTACATATCACAACCAACCAGTGGGCAGGGCCAAAGCACGAGAAGAGTCGCATCACATAGGTGCTAGGCCAAGTGATATGTCACAATCCCCACTGTGGACAGGTCCCAGGGAGAAGAGGAATGGGACCAAGAGATATGTCACTAACCCCTGTAGACAGGGACTAGGCAGAACAATCACATAGCCTGTGGGCTGATTCCAGGGATAAGTCACTCTCTTTTATGGGAGCATGGCCATGGCAGGAAAGAAGAGTCACATTATCTAGGTGCTGGGCCCTGTGATATGTCGCAATCTCTCTTATAGGCAAAATCCAAGTAAGAGAGTCACATCACATAGATGATGGATTCACAAATATGGCACTATTCTTGTTGGGCAAAAGGTGTTGACTCTTGAGCAGGGTTCAGGCAGAAGAATCACATCACCTTGGTTCTGAGCCTAACAATATGTCACAATGTCTGATGAAAAAATGCTAAGGCAAAAATGTAACATCACCTTAGTGTTCGGCCCAGCAGTACGTTACAATGTACACTGTAAGCAGAACACATGTAGAAGAATTATATCAGCTAGGCACTGGGCTCAGTGATAACTAACAATCCTTTCTATGAGCAGGGACCTGGGAGAAAGAGTCACATTACCTGGATGATGGATACACAGATAGATCATAAGGCTTCCTGTAGGCAGGACTCAGCAAGGACAGTTACATAACCTGGATGTTGCAAATGGCAATATGTCACAATGGCCCATAAAGGCAGGTTACAGGTAAGAGAGTTACGTAACCAGGGTGTGGGGCCCAGTGATATGTCACAATGTCCCATGTGGGCAGTGCCGAGGCAAAAGTACAGAGTCATACCACCTAGTGTTGGGTCCAGCAATGTATCACAACCTGATTTGTGGACTAGGTACCAGGCAGAAAAGTCAAATCACTTAGGTGCTGGGCAGAGGTGTATGTTACAGTCACAGTTGCAGGAAAATGTGGGGATAAAATTAGCAATCCTGCCGGGTGTGGTGGCTCACGCTTGTAATCCCAGCACTTTGGGAGACTGAGGCAGGTGGATCACATAAGGTCAGGAGTTTGAGACCAGCCTGGCCAATATGGTGAAACCCCATCTCTACTAAAAATACAAAAAATTAGCCGGGTACTGTGGTGGGCACCTGTAATTCCAGCTACTCAGGAGGCTGAGGTAGGAGAATCGCTTGAACCCAGGAGGCGGAGGTTGTAGTGAGCCAAAATTGCACCATTGCACTCCAGCCTGAGCAACAAGATTGAAACTCCGTCTCAAAAAAAAAAAAAAAAAATTAACAATTCCACACATGTCCCATTTCTAGGTATTAGAGTCAACACCTTTTGTATGTTGAGTCTGAGTACACAAGTGACAATCTCAGTGGTGGACTGGATACCTGCATGAGAGCCTCAATCTTTGCAGTGGACTGTGTCCCCTTAGTGGACTCACAGCCTCACAGATATGCTGAATCTTTTTTTTTTTTTTTTTGAGACGGAGTCTCGCTCTGTCGCCCAGGCTGGAGTGCAGTGGCCGGATCTCAGCTCACTGCAAGCTCTGCCTCCCGGGTTCATGCCATTCTCCTGCCTCAGCCTCCGGAGTAGCTGGGACTACAGGCACCGGCCACCTCTCCCGGCTAGTTTTTTTGTATTTTTTTTAGTAGAGACGGGGTTTCACCGTGTTAGCCAGGATGGTCTCGATCTCCTGACCTCGTGATCCGCCCGTCTCGGCCTCCCAAAGTGCTGGGATTACAGTCTTGAGCCACCGCGCCCAGCCAGATATGCTGAATCTTGGCCTGACAGTCACCAGCCCACATGCGGACCGAATCCACGTGTGAGAGTCAATTTTCCAACTTTTGGCTATCTCTGGGTGTGAGATTCAGAACTTCAACAGTGAGCTGTGTTCATATGAAAAGATGACAATCTTTACTGTTGGCTGACTGTGTGTATGAGTATCACAATGTCACCTGTGTGCTGGGCCCTGTTACAAAACTGTTACCATCTGAGGGCTTTACACAATATGCATGATAGTCACAATTTGCTCTGAGAATTCTGTTCTAGTATGAACTGATAATCGTACTTATGGACCTAAGCCCATGTGTTAGAGTCAACATCTCTCCAATTGGCGAGGTCCAGAGAGGACAGTCCTCACCTGCCTATGAGCTTTGTTTTGAAATGAGTCACCACTTTGACTGTGGTCGCATGATCACATATGACAGTCACAATTTTTACTGTGGACTACATCGATGTGTGAAATCCAGGATCTTTCCAGCGGGCTCTGCCCATCTGTGAGGGTGACAATGCCAACATTTGGTAGGTTGTTCGTATGAGAAACACAGTCTCACCTGTGTGCTTGACCCTGTGACGACACTCTCTGTACCATCCGAAGACTTTATACAAACTCTGAAAGAATGGTTATCCTTTATGATGTTCTCACTTAGAGAAGACCCAATAATTTACCTGTTTCTCTAGGTTTAGCTACAAGTGCCAGTATCTCCCCTACTGGCTGATTTGTGGTACGAGTGTCATCATCACAACTGTGAGCTAGGCTAAAGTGTAAGTCACAATCCAACCTGTGAGTAGAAAGCAAATGAGAGAATAACATCACCTGGGTGCTGGGTCAGGAATATATCACAATTTTTCCAGGGAAGAAACGAGGCATATCGCTTGGTTGCCTGGACAGGGTTCTGTTACCCTAAAATTCCCTCCTGAAAGCAAGGCACAGACATCAAAGTCACATCACTTGGGTAGTGGGTCCGGCTATGTCTCTCTGCAGGCAAGGCTGGGCACAAAATATATACCATCTGGTTGCTGAACCCAGAGACATGTCACGATGCTCTGTATGGGCATGGTGCAGATGGAAGAGAGTCACGCCTCCAAAGTAATGGATGCACAGATATGTAACAAAGGCCTCTTGTGGGCACGGCCCAGGCAAGAGCCTTTCACCCATTTGGTTTGACCCGGCAATATGTCATAATACCCAAAATACAATAGGCCCAGGTAAAAAAAGAAAGTAATATCACCTAGTTGCTGGGTCCAGTGATATGTCACAATCCCTTCTTTTTACAGGGTTCAGGTAGAAAAGGAGAGTCATATCACTCAGGTGACAGACAAAGAGATATGTCAGAATTCCCCTATTAGAAGGCCGCGTGGAGAGGAGAGTCAAATCACCTAGGTGTCGGACCTAGCCATACTTCAATATACAGAATGTACACAGGGTCCAAGCAGTAGAGAAGAGTCACATAACCTTGTTGCTAGGTCAAAAAATATGGCACGGGCTGGGCGTGGTGGCTGATGCCTGTAATGCCAGCATTTTGGGAGACCAAGGTAGGCAGATAACTTGAGATTAGGAGTTCAAGAACAGTCTAGCCGACATGGTGAAACCTCGTCTTTACTAAAAATGAAAAAAAAATTTAGCCAGGCATGGTGGTACATGCCTGTAATCTCAGCTATTCATGAGGCTGAGGCAGGAGAATCACTTGAACCTGGGAGGCAGAGTTTGCAGTGAGCCGAGATCACGCCACTGTACTCCAGCCTGGGCAACAGAGTGAGACCCTATCTAAAAAAAAAAGACCTGTGGACAGGTCTCAGAGACAAAAAGAGTCATATCATCTAGTTTATGGTCCCAGGGACATGTCACAATGTCCCCTATGGACAGAGATTAGGCAGAAAAATTATGTCACCTGCATGCTGGGCCTAGGGATAAGTCACTCTCCCTTCTGTGGCCAGGGCCCAGGCAGGAGAGAAGAGTAACATCACCAGATGCTTGGCCCAGACATGTTTCAATGTCTCCTAGAGAAAAGCTCATGTCAGCCAGGTGCGATGGCTCATGCCTGTAATCCCAGGGCTTTGGGAGGCCAAGGCAAATGGATCACCTGGGGTCAGGAGTTCAAGACCAGCCTGGCCAACATGGTGAAACCCTGTCTTTACTAAAAATTCAAAAATTAGCTGAGCATGATGGTGGGCACCTGTAGTCCCAGATATTCGGGTGGCTAAGGCAGGAGAATCACTTGAACCTGGGAAGCAGGGGTTGCAGTAAGCCGAGATCATGCCACTACACTGCAGCCTGAGTGATAGAGTGAGACTCCATCTAAAAAAAAAAAAAATTCACTTCAGCTGTGTGCTGGGAAACAGTTAGGTCACAATCTTCCCTGAGAACAGGCACCAGGCAGGAGAGTCATGTTACTGGGTGCTTGACCCAGAAATTTTACAATCCCCTCCTGAAAGCAGGGCACAGGCAGAAGAGTAAGATCACCTGGTTGCCGGGCCCAGCAACATGTCATAATATTTCCTGTGGGCAAAATGCTGGCAGAAGTAGAGGGTTTCAAATCCTGGGTGATGGATACAGAAACACATCACAAGGACCCCTGTGGGAAGGGCTCAGGAAGGAGCCATCTAACCTTTAGGTATCTGTTCTGGTGATAGGTCACTATATCTAAAATATGAAGGTTTCAGGCCGGGCGTGGTGGCTCAAGCCTGTAATCCCAGCACTTTGGGAGGCCGAGATGGGCGGATCACGAGGTCAGAAGATCGAGACCATCCTGGCTAACACGGTGAAACCCCATCTCTACTAAAACTACAAAAAAACTAGCTGGGCGAGGTGGCGGGCGCCTGTAGTCCCAGCTATTCGGGAGGCTGAGGCAGGAGAATGGCGTGAACCCGGGAGGCGGAGCTTGCAGTGAGCTGAGATCCGGCCACTGCACTCCAGCCCCGGCGACAGAGCGAGACTCTGTCTCAAAAAAAAAAAAAAGAAGGTTTCAGGCAAATAAAGAGTCATATCACCTATGTGCTGGGTCCAGCGATCTGTGGCAATCTTTTCTTTTGGCAGGGCTCAAGCAGAAGAGTCATATCACCTAGATAATGAGTAAAAAGATGTGTTATTTTTGTGGGAGAGCCCATGCAGGACAGTCGCATTGCCTCAATGTTGGATTCAGAGATATGTTGTAATACAAAATGTATATGAGTCCCAGGCAGGAGAGGAGAGTAACATCACCTTGGTGCTGGATACAGAGATACATTACAATTTCTTATTTTTTTTATTTTTTTTGAGACAGAGTTTCGTTCTTGTTGCCTAGGCTGGAGTGCAATGGAGCAATCTCGGCTCACTGCAACCTCTGCCTCCCGGATTCAAGCGATTCTCCTGCCTTAGCCTCCCAAGTAGCTGGGATTACAGGCATGTACCACCACGCCGGGCTAATTTTGTACTTTTTAGTAGAGACGGGGTTTCGCCATGTTGAGGCTGGTCTCGAACTCCCGACCTCAGGTGATCCACCCGCCTCAGCCTCCCAAAGTGCTGGGATTACAGGCATGAGCCACCAAGCCCGGCCTACAATTTCTTCTTAAGCACACCCCAAGCAGTAGAGAGAGCCACATCACCTAAGTTCTTGGTCCAGTAATATTTCACAATACCCCTTGAGGGGAAGGCCTAGGCAAAAATGTCATATTACCTAGGTGAGAGGCCTAGATATGTCACAATGCCCCCTGTGGGTAGGGATTATAAACGAGAAAGTCACATTACGTAGGTGTGGGGCTCAGCTTTATGTTCCAATCACCCCAGTGGGAAGGGACCAGGCATGAGAGAACAGCCACATCACATATGAGCTACTTCAAGCGATGTATCACAATTCTCACTGAGGACAAACTCTGGAAGAGGAGATTCATATCATCTAGCTGATGGACCCAAACATATAGCACAGTGACTCCTGTGTGCAGGAAACAGGCAGAATAATTACATCACTGGTGTGCTTGGCTCAGGCAGAAGAGGAATGTCACATTACGTAGGTAAAATAGGGCATTTACCTGAGCTTTGTCCATAGGAGAGATTGCAGTGGGTCAAGAAATATGTCACAATGCTCCCTGTGGTCAGGGTTCAGGCAGAGGACTCACAGCATCTTGGTGCTGGTTCAGCAGTGTATCTCAATGCCTTCTAAGGACATAGCCAAAAGAAGAGAAGTCACATCACCTTAGTGTTAGGCACAGCAGTATGTCACAATCTCCTTTGTGCGCAGAACCTAGAAAAAAGAAGAGTCACATCAGCTAGGAGCTGGGACCAGCAATATGTCACAATTACCCCTGTGAGTAGAGAACAGGCAGCAAAAGAAAGTTACATTCCCTAGGCCAGGGGACCATGGCTCACGCCTATAATCTGAGCACTTTGGGAGGCCAAAGTGGGCAGATCACCTGAGTTCGAGACCAGCCTGGCCAACACGGTGAAACCCCATCTCTATTAAAAGGCAAAAATTAGCTGGGCATGATCATATGTCATAGTCTTACCTGTGGATAGAGAGTGAGCAGGAGTATTACATCGTCTGCATCACCTGGGTGCTGGGCCAGGGCTATGTCACAATCTTCCCTGAGAATAGGGCCCAGGCAGAAGAGTTATCACCTGGGTGCTTGGTCAGAGATATGTTACAATTTCCTCCTGAAAGCGGGGGACAGGCAGTAGAGTCCCATCACCTGGTTGCTGGGCCCAGTGATATGTCACAATGCTCCCTGTGAGCAAAGCTCAGGCAGGAGAAACACATCACCTGATTTCTGGGCCAAAAGATACATCACGATCTCCCCTATGAGTAAAGCCTTGGTATAAAAGGAGAGTCAGCCAGGCGCGGTGGCTCACGCCTGTAATCCCAGCACTTTGGGAGGCCGAGATGGGTGGATCACAAGGTCGGGTGATGAGACCATCCTGGTTAACACGGTGAAACCCCATCTCTACTAAAAATACAAAAAATTAGCCAGGTGTGGTGGCGGGCGCCTGTAGTCCCAGCTACTCGGGAGGCTGAGGCAGGAGAATGGCGTGAACCCGGGAGGCGGAGCTTGCAGTGAGTCGAGATTGTGCCACCGCACTCCAGCCTGGGTGACACAGCGAGACTCCGTCTCAAAAAAAAAAAAAAAAAGTCACATCAAATAGTTGACACTCCCAAAGATATGTCACAATGCTCTGTTGTCAGTGTCCACACAGAACCTCTTGTCACCTTGTTGGTGGGCCGAGCAATATGTCACAGTGTCTTTAAGGTCTGGGCCAAGGCAAAACAGTAATGTCACATCGGTGTTGAGCCCCACAATATGTCCCAATCTCCCTTGAAAGCAGAACTTATGATGAATAGAAGAGTCACACTTGCTTGGTACTGGGCCAAGTGATACGTCACAATTCCTCCTGTGAGCAGAATGAGGCAAAAGAAGAGAGTCACATCACCTGGGTAATGGGTGGAAAAAAATATCCACAACGTTCCGTGTTGGCAGAACCTACGCAGTAGAGTTACATTACCAGGGTGTTGGACCCAGCAATATGTCACAATGTGGTGAGGGCACAGGCATGAGAGTCATATAACCTGGATGTAGGCCCAGAGATATGTCACCATGCCCCCGTGGGCAGTGCCAAGGCAGGAGAGGAGACTCACATCAACTAAGTGCAAGGTCCAGTGAGATGTCACAATGTCCTCTGGGAGCAGCACCAACACAGAAGAAGAGAGTCACAGCCCCTCAGTTCTGGGTTCAGCAATATATCACTATCCCCCCTGTGGGCTGGTCCTAGGCAAGACAGTCAGATCACTCAGGTGCCCGGCATAGAAAAATGTCACAATTGGGCCAGGCGCAGTGGCTCATGCCTATAATCACAGCACTTCGGGAGGCAGAGGTGGGAGGATCACCTGAGGTCAGGAGTTCCAGACCAGCCTGATCAACATGGAGAAATCCTGTCTTTACTAAAAATACAAAATTAGCCTTGCGTGGTGGTGCATGCCTGTAATCCCTGCTACTTGGGAGGCTGAGGCAGAAGAATCGCTTGAACCCGGAAGGGGGAGGTTGCAGTGAGCTAAGATTGTGCCATTGCACTCCAGTCTGGGTGATGAGTGAAACTCCGTCTCAAAAAAAAAAAAAAAGTGAAAAATGTCACAATTAAATCTGCAGGAAGGTCCAGGGATGACATTAACAATCCCACACATGTCCCGGTGTTAACCTCCTATATGTTGTGTCTAAGAACAGGGGTTACAATCTCAACGGTGGACTGAATTTGTGCAAGAGAGCCTCAACTCCTCCTGCACGCTACGTTTAACAGTAAAGTCACAGCCTCAGAGGTGTGCTGAATCTTGCTCTGAATGTCACCAACCCACCTGTGGACTGAATCCACACGAGAGTCAAGTTTCCAGTCTTTGACTGCCTATAGTTGTGAGATTCAGAACCCCAAAAGTGGGCTGTGTTCATGTGGGGAAATGATGATGTATATACTGTTGGGTGCGTGTGCATACAACTGTCGCAATCTCCCCTGTGTGCTGGGCCTTGTTAATACACTCTCTATACTACCTAAGGGCTTTATGTAGTATGAATGCAGGTCACAATTCACTGACCCCTTCATGTTTATATGCACCCATGACCATACCTGTGGCCCTAAGCCCAGGTGTGAGAGTCAACATTTCTCCAATTGGCTGGGTCCAAATAGTAGAGTCCTCATCTGCCTGTGATTTGAGTTTAGAAATGTGTCACCATCCCAACTGTGGCTGGATGCTCACATATGACGGACACAATTCCAACTGTGGACTGTTTGCATGTGAGATTCAAGACCTCAGCAGCATGCTCTTTCCATGTGTGAGGGTGATAATACTAATGGTTGGTGAGGTGTGCGTGTGAGAAACAATCTCGCCTGTGTGCTGTGCCCTGTGATGACACACTCTAACACTTGAGGGCATTATACCACATGTGAGGGTGTGGCAATCTTTTACAACCTTCATACAGAGAAGACCCAGGATGTCACTCATTTTTCTCAGCTATGAAAGATAGTATTTCTTCCTCTTTTTTTTTTGAGATAAGAGTTTCGCTCTTGTTGCCCAGGCTGGAGTGCAATGGTGTGATCTCCACTCACCTCAACCTCCGCCTCCCGAGTTCAAGCGATTCTCCTGCCTCAGCCTCCCGAGTAGCTGGAATTACAGGCATGCGCCACTACACCTGGCTAATTTTTTTTGTATTTTTAGTAGAGACGGTGTTTCTCCATGTTGGTCAGGCTGGTCTCAAACTCCTGACCCCAGGTGATCCGCCCGCCTCAGCCTCCGAAAGTGATGGGATTATAGTCCCCACTGTGCCTGGCCAGTATTTCTTCTAACAGCTGACTTGAGGCATGAGAGTCATCATCACACTTGTAAGCTGACCACAGCATGTCTCAACTGTACTTATAGGAAGGGAGCTAGCAGGGGATTCACATCACCTGGATTTCAGCCAAGGATCTCACAGTCTTCTCTGAGGAAGGAAGCCAAGCAGGAGTGTCACCTCACCTGGGTGCTCAGTCAGGGATACAATTCTGTCCTGAAAGCACAGCACAAGGAACAGTCACATCACCTGGGTGCTGAGCTCAGCACTATGTTACAATGCTCCCTGTGGGCAAGACAGAAGCAGAAGAGCCATATCACCTGGTGTCTCGTTTCAAGGATATGTCACAATCATTCCTGTGCAGGGCAGGGTGCAGGCAAAAAATAAATGTCACATCTTCTAGGTCATGGATGCAGATATATGTCACAAGGTACCTATGGGCAGAGTCAAGGTAGGAGCAAGCAATCCCATCGGCGGTGGGCCTAGTGATATTTTACAATACCCAAAACATGAGAGGCCCAGGCCAAACAAGAGAGTCACATCACCTAGGTGCTGGGTTCAGTGATTTGCCACAATCTTCCACTTTTTGGCAGGGCCAGGCAGAAGAGGAGAATTATATCACCTAGATGATGAGTGAAAATATATGTTGTAATACCTCTGTGGGCAGGGCCCACACAGGAGATTCACATCGCCAAGGTGTCAGGACCAGCCACATGTCACAGTATGTGCAAGAGGAACCAGGCAGGAGAGAAGAGTCACATTACCTAGGTTCTGGTCGCAGCAATATATTGCAGCTTCTTGGGAAAAGCCCAGGAAGTAGAGGAAAGTCACATCACCTGGGCACTAGGCCCAGTGATGTCTCAATGCCCTCTGTGAAAAGCACTAAGGCAAGAGAACAGACTCACATCACCTAAGTGCTGGGTCCAGCAATACGGCACAATCCCATCTGTACGCTGGACCCAGGCAGAAGAGTCAAATCACTGAGGTGCTGGGCAGAGGTGTATGTCACAATCACACCTGCATGAAGGTCAAAGCATGAGATTAATAGTTCCACACATTTTCTAGTTCTAGGTATGAGATCTAACACTTCCTGTATGTTGAGTCTAAGTAAATGAGTCGCAATCTCAATGATGGTCTGGATCCATGTATGAGAACCTCAATCCTTCCTGCAAACTGTGTCCCCTTAGTGGAGTCACAGACTCACAGGTGTGCCGAATCTTGCATGGACCGAATTCACATATGAGATTCCATTTTCCAACATTTGACTGCCTCTGGGTGTGACATTCAGAACCTCGATTGTGAGCTGTGTTTATGTGGAAGGATGAAATATTTACTGTTGCAGGTCATACATATGAGTGTCACAACCTCACCTGTGTGCTGAGTTCTGTTAGGACATCCGCTGTGCCTTTTGACAACTTTATACAGTGTGTGAGAGAGTGGTGATTCTCTGTGACTTTCATACAAAGAGGAGACCCAAGATATTACTCATTTTCCTAACTCTGGCTGTGAGAGACAGTGTATCTGCTATTGGTTGTTTCAAGGTATGAAAGTGATCATAGAGGCCAGGCGTGGTGACTCACGCCTATAATCCCTGCATTTTGGGAGGCCGAGGCGGGTGGATCACCTGAGGTCAGGAGTTCAAGACCAGCCTGCCCAACATGAAGAAACCCTGTTTCTACTAAAAATACAAAATTAGCCGGGCGTGGTGGCGCATGCCTGTAATCCCAGCTACTCAGGAGGCTGAGACAGGAGAATCGCTTGAACCCAGGAGGTGGAAGTTGCGGTGAGCCAAGATCGTGCCATTGCACTCCAGCCTGGGCAACAAGAGCGAAACTCCGTCTGAAAAAAAGAAAGTGATCATTGCACCTGTAAGCTGGGCCAAGATAGGCATCACAATCCCAGCAGTGAATAGGGATGGACCAGTAGACTCACATCACCTGGGTTTTGGGGCAGTGATATGTCACAATCTTCTCTGAGGGCAGGGACCAGGCAGCAGTGTCACATCACCTTGGTGCTCAATTAGGAATATGCTACAATCCCCTCCTGAAAGCAGAATACAGTCAGAAGAGTCACATCACCTGAGTGCTGAGACCAGGGATATGTTACAATGTTCTCTGTGGGCGAGGACCAGGCAAAAAAAACAAATCCCCTGATTGCTGAGACCAGTGATTCGTCACAATCCTCCTAGTGGTCAGGGTGCAGACAGAAGAGGGGAGTTAAATCTCCTAGATCATCCCATCTAATGGGTGTGAACTCGATGATATGTCACTATACCCAAAATATGCCAGGGACATGGAAAATAAAACAGTCACATCATCTAGGTGATGAAAAAGAGATATGTCGGCCAGGCACAGTGGCTCATACCTGTAATCCCAGCACTTTCGGAAGCCAAGGCAGATGAATCACCTGAGGCCGGGAGGTTGAGATCAGCCTGAAGAACATGGAGAAATCCCATCTCTACTAAATAAAAATACAAAATTAGCCGGCCATGGTGGCACATGGCTGTAATCCCAGCTACTCGGAAGGCTGAGGCAGGAGAATCGCTTGAACCCAGGAGGTTGCAGTGAGCCGAGATCACGCCATTGCACTCCAGCCTGGGCAACAAGAGCGAACTCTGTCTCAAAAAAAAAAAAAAAAAAAAAAAGAAAGAAAAAGAAAAAGAAATATGTCATATTGCTTCTATGGGCAGTTCTCATGACATAAAGTTGTGTCACCTGGGTGCTGAATCCAGGTATACGTCACAATACACAATGTATGCAGGGCTTAGGAGGAAGAGCAGAATCACAACAGCGAGGTGGGGGGCCCAGCAATACATCACAATCCCTGCTTGGGCAAAGCCCAGTCCATAAAGGAGGGTCACATCACCTACGTACTGGGTTCAGCAATATGTCACCCTACCCCTTGCAGGGAGGGTCCATGCAAGAGTCACATCACATAAATGATGGGCCCAAAAATATGTCAAAATTTTCTCTGTGGGTAGGGCTCAGGAAAAAAAAAAAAGAAGAAGAATCACATGACCTGGGGGCTGGGCCCGGCTATATGTAACAATACTTTTTTGGCAGGGCCCACGCAGAAGAGGAGTGTCACATCACCTAGGTGATTAATAGAAACATAGCTCGTAATACGCCTATGGGCAAGGCCCATGAAGGAGAGTTGCATTATCTAGGTATTGGACCCAGTGATATGTCTCAATACACACTGTATGGAAGTCTCAGGCTGGAGAGGAGAGTCACCTCATCTAGGTTCTTGACACAGTGATATGTCACAATCCCTTTTTGGGTAGAGACCAAACAGTACAGAAGAGTCGCATCACCTAGATGCTGGGCTCAGCAATGTCACAATATCCTGAGAACAGGGTCCAAACAAAAGAGTCACATCACGTCACTGAAGGCCTCGGAGATATGACACAATGCCCCTGTGGGTAGGGCTCAGGAAGAAGTGTGGAGTCATATAACCTTGGGGCTGGGCCCAGCTACATGTCAAAATCACTCCAGTGGGCAGGGCCTAGGCATAAGAAGAGAGTCGCATCATGTAGGTCCTGGGCCAAGCAACATGTGACACTCCCCACTGTAGACAGGTTCCACGAAGAAGAGAGTCACATAATCTTAGTGATAGGCCCAGACATATGTCACAATGACTTCTGTGAGCAGGCAGAAGAATCCCCATCACCTGTGTGCTAAACTCAGCAATAACTCATTCACTCTTCAGTGGGCAAGGAACAGGCAGGAGAGGAGAGTCACGTCACTTCTGTGCTGGGCCCAGATTTATGTCACAATCTCTTTTTGGGCAACATCCAGGTAAGAGAGGAGAGTCACATAAAATAAAGGGCCCAGAGATATGTCACAATGCACCTTGTAGGCAGGGTCCAGGCAGGAGACTCACACCACATTGGTTCTGGGCCCAGCAATACACCACCATGCCTTCTAAGGGCAGTGTCAAGGCAGAAGAGTATGTCACTGTAGTATTAGGCCCAGTGACATGTCACAATATCCTCTGTGGGCAGAACCTAGAAAGAAAGAGGGGGAGAGTCATGTGAGCTAGGTGCTGAGCCAGTAATACATCACAATCCCTTCTATTAGCAGGGGCCAGGCAGGAGAAGAGAGCTGCATTACCTGAGTGATGGGTGCAGGAATATGCCACAATATCTTCTGTAGGCAGGACCTCGGCAGTAGACTTACATCACCTGGGTGTTGGACCCCACAAAAGTCACAGTGGCCCACACAGGCAGGGCACAGGCAGGAGGGTCACATAACCTATGTGTGGGGCCCAGCGATATGACACAATGTCCCCTGTGGAAGAGCCAAGGCAGGAGACAAGATTCACACCACCTGGGTACAAGATGCAGTGATGCCACAATGTCCCCTGTGGGCAGTGACAAGGCAGTAGAATAGTCACATCACCTCGGTACTGGGTCCAGTTATATGTCACAATCCCTTCCATGGGCTGGGCCAAGGCAGGAGCACCAAATCACTCTGGTGCTGGGCTAAGTCATATAACATAATCACACTAGCAGGAATGTTCAGACATGAGATTATGCATCCGGACTGGAAAGAATCAACACATCAAAAACATGACCAGACCGTGCATGCTGGCTCACACCTGTAATCTCAGCACTTTGGGAGGCCACGGAGGATACCTGGAACCCAGGAGTTCAAGACTATCCAGGGACAACATGGTGAGACAACGTCTCTATTAAAAAATAATAATTAAAGTTAAAAAAGAAATATATATCCAGAGCATGGACAACATAACAAGATCACATCTCTACTAAAAAGATGATAGAGGCTGGGTGCCAGTGGCTCATGCCTGTAATCCCAGTACTTTGGGAGGCTGAGGCAGGCAGATCACGAGGTCAAGAGATTGAGTCCATCCTGGCCAACATCATGAAATCCCGTCTCTACTAAAAACACAAAAATTAGCTGGGTGTGGTGGTGCGCTCCTATAGTCCCAGCTACTCCAGGAGCTGGGCACCTAGGAGGCAGAGGTTACAATAAGCTGAGATCATGCCACTGCACTCCAGCCTGGGTGACAGTGTGAGACTCTGTCTCAAAAAAAAAAAAAAAAAAAAAAAGATGATAGATAGATAGATAAAGAGCCAGCCAAATAGACAGACAGAGCCGGACACACAGAGATAGATGATAGATAGATAGATAGCCAGCCAGTCAGGCAGGATGGCTCATGCCTGTAATCCCAGCACTTTGGGAGGTCAAGACTGGTGGATTGTTTGAGCACAGGAGTTCAAGACCAATCTGAGAAACATGGCAGAACCTCATCTCTATAAAAATAAAAAGCAAAAAATGCAAAACAAAGAGCCACCGTGGTGGTGTGTGACTGTAGTACCAGCTACCCAGGGAGCTGAGATGGGAGGATCCCCTGAGCCCAAGGAGGTCCAGGCTGCAGTGAACTGTGATCACACACCTGCACTTCAGCCTGGGTGACTGAGAAGACCTCATTTAAAAATATATATATATGTACAAATACACACACGCGCACACACACACACGAAAGTAGAAAGAAATTTAAAACAGCAACTTCAGTGTGCAGGAAGGCACATAAGGGAGAGAAAACAAAACAAAACAATAGTAACTCAATGTACTGTGGAAACAAACTCAAAGTGGGGCTAGGGAAAAAAAAAACAAAAACAGAAAGATCCCCAGAGCCTCAGCTACTCTGGAGGCAGAAATGGGAGGATGGGGCCAGGCATGGTGGCTGGCAGCTGTAATCCCAGCACTTTGGGAGGCCGAGGTGGGCGGATCACCTGAGGTCGGGAGTTTGAGACCAGCCTGACCAACATGGAGAAACCTTGTCTCTACTACAAATACAAAATTAGCCGGGCATGGTGGTGCTCGCTTGTAATCCCAGCTATTCGGGAGGCTGAGGCAGGAGAATCACTTGAACAAGGGAGGCGGAGGTTGCAGTGAGCCGAGATTGCACCATTGCCCTCCAGCCTGGGCAACAAGAGCAAAAAATCCATCCAAAAGGGAGGGGAGAGGGAGAGGGAGACAGAGAGAGGGAGGGGGAGGAGGATGGGGATGACAGGGGTGAGCCCGAGCAGGTGGAAGGCCCCGTGAGCCGTAATCGCACCCTCTGCTGGACCTAAGCGGTACTGCCGCGGGCGAGAGCTATCTAGTTCATCTTAAACATTTCAAGTTGGTGGCCAAGTCCTAACTTTCGGGCTGACATCTGGTTGACCCCGCGGCTGGACAGAGAAGCCAGCCGGTGGCGAGAGCAGAGGCCCACCGGGTCCACACTACACACCAAATGTGGCCGAATGTGGCGCGCGGGGCCTGAAGCCGTCCGTCTGGAGTCTAACTCCACCAACCTTCCTTCCCAGCGCTCTCCCACACTGTCTGCTGGTGCACTCGGGAGGCAGAAAGACTGGGGGGCTCGAGGCGGGGCGGGGGGCGGGGGCGACCGGCCCCTCCTCCCCGCCGCGGAGTAGGAGAGGCCTAGGACCTGGACCACCACCCGCAGACCACACAGCCACCCCGAGACGGGGGTTGTCGGGCCACACCCTCTGACGCCAGCGCCTCAGCCCACGACTCTTCCACAGCCCCGTTCCAGCCAGGGTGATGAGCCACCTGCAGGGTGGGAAGAGGAGGAAACTAGAGGGGGTGGAGACCACGCAGGGGCGCCCCCTGAACCTGCGGCACCCTCGGAACAGCATGTGGCCCCTTCGGCGCTCAGAAAGCCCACGGGCGGAGAGCTTTCCCGGCCCTCGGAAGATGGCACAGGACCGTCCCTGACTCTCCATGGGGACTTGGGAAAAAAATCGGCCGGAGCCTCAGACGGCCAGGACCCACGCGGGCCCGCGACCGGGCCTGGGGAGTGTCTCCGGCCCCCTGCATCATGCCTGGTGGGTCCCGAGGGTCGGGCCTCTGCAGCTGCGGTGAGCTGGGGACCAGCCCGGGCAGCCCCACACTCGGCTCCTGCCGGGAGCGCGGTAACAGCCTCCCCTCCACAGCCCTGCACGCCTGAGCGATGACTCACAAGGGACGCGCCAGAGCTCTGGCACTATCGGGACTGTTCAGCTGAAGGCTGCAGGACTCCCGAGCTCTGCCCACCTCACAGCGGGGACTGTCCTTCCCTCGGCAGCTGCCGCTGGAGCTCCAGAGGACAAGAGAACTCTAGAAAGGCGGCCGCCCCTGTGGGCCACAGGCAGTGCCGTCAGCCCAAGCGGCCTCTGGAGAAGACCTGTACTGCTAGCCGGCCGCTAGGAGGCGCCAAGCGACCGCCCACGCAATAATCAGCCAGGGAAGAATGAAAAAATACATCTATATGCATATACTGATCGAAGAACAATCATACCCAGTCAGGGCGGCGATTTTCTAGGCAACAAGGGAGAAAGCAACTTTGAGGTGGGGACAGTAGAGAAGACACAGTTGACCCAGTCTGTGTACAGGCATCCTTTTCTCTGTGAGACCTTGGATTAGGGTACATAACTATTTCTTTGTAACACAATTACTTATCATAAATGTTATGTTTGTTTGCTTATTTATTTACTTTTTGAGATGGATTCTTTTTCTTTTCTTTTTTGAGATGGAGTCTTGCTTTGTCGCCCAGGCTAGAGTGCAGTGGGGCAATCTTGGCTCACTGCAATCTCCGCCTCCGGGGTTCAAGCGATTCTAGTACCTCAACCTCCTGAGTAGCTGGGATTACAGGCACGCACCACCTCGCCCGGCTAATTTTTTACTGTTAATAGAGATGGGGTTTCACCATGTTCACCAGGCTGGTCTCAAACTCCTGACCTAAGGTGATCCACCCGCCTCAGTCTCCCAAAGTGTTGGGATTACAGGCGTGAGCCACCAAGCCTGGTCGATTTTTTTATTTCTTATGTGTATGGTCCTGTGATAGACCAGGGGACTTGTAACCTCAGAGTCCATGAGGCCAGAAGCTGACATCCTAAATGTCTATTTAGAATGAATTTAAACAAACCAAACTCTCTGCCACAAAACACTCAGAAAGACAAGCGATTAAAAAAAAAAAAATCGCGGCCTGGCAGTGAATCACGCCTGTAATCCCAGTACTTTAGGAGGCCAAGGCAGGTGGATTGCTTCATCCCACGAGTTCGAGACCATCCTGGGCAACATGGTAAAACCTCATCTCAACCCAAAATACAAACATTAGCCAGTTTCATAACCTGATCTCAAAATACATAAATAAGTAGGTTAAAATTTAAAAATAAAATTTTAATTTTAAAATGCTGACTTCTGTTCATTTTGCTTCCTACCCAGAGAAGGGCATAAAATATCTGTTGCTTGCTTGTTTGTTTTTGACGGGGTCTCACTCTGTCACCCAGGCTAGAGTGCAGTGGTACCATCATGGCTTACTGCAGCCTCAACCTCCCCAGACTTAGATGATCCTCCCACCTCAGCCTCCCAAGTAGCTGAAATCACAGGTGTGTGCCAGCACACCCGGCTAATTTTTGTATTTTCAGTACAGACGAGTTTTCCACACGTTTCCCCGTCTGGTCTCAAACTCCTGGGCTCAAGTGATTCTCCCGTGTTGGCCTCCAAAAGTGTAGGGATTACAGGAATCAGCCACCATGCCTGGCCTTACTTAATATATCTGATCTCACTACATTCTGGCACTAAAGCCTCACATCAAAAAGTTAGGAAGATCTCAAGTTAACATCACAGCTAAAAGAACTAGAGAACAAGGCTGGGCGCGGTGGCTCACGCCTGTAATCCTAGCACTTTGGGAGGCCGAGGTGGGCAGATCACCAGGTCAGGAGAGCGAGACAAACCTAGCTAACATGGTGAAATCCTGTCTCTACTAAAAATACAAAAAATTAGCCAGGCGTGGTGGCACATGCCTGTAGTCCATCCCAGCTACTTGGGAGGCTGAGGCAGGAGAATCGCTTGAACCCGGGAGGTGGAGGTTGCAGTGAGCTGAGATCGCACCACTGCACTCCAGCCTAGGTGACAGAGCGAGACTCCGTCTCAAAATAAATAAATAAAATAAGTAAATAAATAAATAAATAAATAAAAGAACTAGAGAACCAAGAGCAAACAAATCCCAAAGCTAGAAGAAAACAAGAAATAACCAAAATCAGAGCTGCACTGAATAAGACAGTGATGTGAAAACACACTCAGAAGACCAACAAATCCAGGAGCTGGTTTTTTGGAAAAAATAACTAAAAAGACCACTAGCTAGACTAATAAAGAAGAAAAAAGAGAAGATCCAAATAAACACAATCAGAAACAATAAGGGGGATATTACCACTGACCTCAGAGAACACAACCATCAGAGAATATTATGAACAACTCGATGCACATAAACTAGAAAA